CTGAAGATTGCTTTAGCTATTTGGGCTCTTTTTTGCTTCCATATGAATTTCAGTAGTCTTTTCTAGGTTTGTAAAAAATGTTACTGGTAGTTTGGGGGGCGATACATTAAATGTGTAGATTGCTTTAGGTAGAATGGAAATCTTTAGGCTATTGATTCTTCCAATCCATGAGCTTGGGAGGTTCTTGCATTTGTTTGTATCTTCTTTGATCTCTCTGAGCAGTATTTTACAGTTCTCATTGTAAACATATTTCACGTCTTTGGTTAGATGGATACCAAGTGGTTTTTTTTGTTTGTTTTTTGGCTATTGTGAATAGGATTTTGTCTTTTATTTGGTTTGCAGCCTGTTTGTTGTTGGTGTCTAAAAATGATGCAACTTGATTTGTGCATTGATTTTGAATTCTGAAACTTTACCAGAGTTGTTTATCAGTGCAAGGAGGTTTGTAGCAGACTCTCCAGGGTTTTCTAGGTATAGAATCATATAATCTGTGAAAAGGAATAATTTAATCTCCTCTTTTCCTATTTAGATACCTGTACAGAAGGGACCAAAAAAACCCAAACCCAGAATTCATTTATTTTTAAAAAATGTGTATTTATTCTTACATGTTTAAACTTCAGTCCCCTTTAAAGTACTCTTCGTTTGATGCAATACACATATTGAGATAATTTTTCCACTGCTCAAAACAGTTTTTGAATTAATCAACTTTTATGCCTTTTAGTGCTTCTAAATTTTTTGTTTCACCTTTTCCACATCGGCAAAACATTTACCTTTGAGGACTTTTTTCATCTGGGGAAACAAAAAGGTGAGATTGGGTGAATAGGGAGGGTGGGGCATGGGAGTCATGTCATTTTTAATCAAAAATTGCTGAACACAGTGTGGGGTGGGCATGTGTGCTTGTAAGTCACCCATCATGAAATGGGCAAGTGTGTTGAATCACCAAAGAGACTCCCACAAAAATAAAAACAAAAAATAACAAAACAAAACACTGAAGTTGAATGCATCCTCTCATACCACCACTAGCTGGTATACCAATGCCAATGGATTCCTAGAATGCTTAACCACCAGGGGAAGCCTATACTACAGAGGAAACCTATATCCTCCAAAGATAATTCCAGTTTTTTTGAGTCTCCCCTCATAATTTCTTACTCCTTCCAGATCGCTCTGGCTAGGATATCCAGTACCATGTTAAATAGGAGTGATGAGAGAGGACATCCTTGTCCCACTCTAGTTTAGTGAGAATGCTTCCAGCTTCTGCCCATTAAGTATAATGTTGGCTGCAGGCTTGTCGGAGATAGCTCTTGCTATTTTGAGGAAAGATCCTTCAATAGCTAGATGATGGAAGGTTTTTACTAAGAAGGGAGGTTGGATTGTATCAAATGCTTTTCCTGGATCTATTGAGATAATCATGTTGTTCTTGGTTTTACATGTTTATGAGGTGGGTTATATTTATTGATTTGTGTATATTGAACCAACCTTGCATCTTGGGAATGATACCCACCTGGTCATGATGAATGATCCTTGTAATGTGTTGTAGGATGTAATTTACTAGTATCTTGTTGAAAAGTTTTGCATCTGTGCACATCAGGGAAATTGGCCTGAAGTTTTTCTTTCCCTATTGGGTCTTTGCCATTTTTTGATGTCAGGATGTTGGCTCCATGGAATGTTCTTGAGAGGATTACTTCCTTCTCAATTGTTTGGAAAACTTTCAGTAGTATTGGTATCAGCTGTTCTCGTACATCTGGTAAAATTCTCCTGAGAAACCATCTGGTTCAGCTTTTTTTTTTTGGCAGGGAGGTTTCTAATTAGTGAATCAATTTCTTGATTATTATTTTTTGAGTGGAGTCTCACTGTCACCTAGGGTGGAGTGCAGTGGCACACTCAGTGTTAACCTGCTGGGCTCAGGTGATCCTTCCGCCTAAGCCTTCCAAGTAGCCGGAACTACAGGCATATACTGCCATACTAGACTAATTTTTTGATTTATTGGATACAAGGTCTCACTAAGTTGCCCAGGCTGGTCTCGAACCCCTGGGCTCAGGTAATCCTCTCGCCTCAGCCTCCCGAAGTGCTGGGATTACAGGCTTGAGCCACCATGTCCAGTCAATTTCTTGGATTATTATTGATCTGTTTTGGGTTTCTATTTATTCCTATTTCAATTTTGGGATACTGAGCTGCGTGTTGTCAGGAATTTATCCATTTCCTCCAGTTTTCCTAGCTTATTTGCGTACAGATGTAAGTAGTAATATCTAATAATCTTTTCTACTTCTTCAGGGTCAGTTGTAACATTGCCTCTTTCATTTTTCTGATTTATTCAATTTTTTTCTGTTAGTTTGGCCAGGGGTCTGTCAATCTTATATATCCTTCCAAAGAATCAGCTTTTCAATTCATTGATTCTTTGTATAATATTTTGGTTTTCATATAAAAAATAAGCAGTTTATACTTCCTAATATATTTGTATGTATTTATATAACAGTAAAGTATATAATAGGTCCATGCTGAGATTTGTAAGAATTTATATTTTTCTTTAAGGAGAAAATTAAGAAACTTTGCTGTAGGTTTTACAGAGGGAAAATCACTCTTTCCACTGAGTTTGATTTTCTCTGCCTCTTCTCCCCACTGGAAAGGTAGGAGTTTATGGGAAAAGTCAGGATATCGGTAAAGGAGAAAGGAGCTAAAGAGGACATGGGCTGTTCATGAAGCCAATTGGGCCTATACAGAAGAGCAAAAGGATTCCCTGCAGTTCCACAAAGTAGTCTAGCTCATAAGCGACAGGGCTTCCACATGAGAATTCAGAGGCAAAAAAAAAAAAAAAAAAAAAAGTGGATCTTGAAAACCTATGGCAGCAGGATGTAGCTGGTCAAGGATTTGGGAACTTGGGTCTAAGCCACCTTTCCCTCTATAACTAACAGTCATGATGCTGCTTTCTCTCAGGATTAGGCACATTTCTGCACAGAAGTCTAGTCCTAGTTCCAATGACAGAGTAGGACCAGGTCAGTCACTGCAGATCACACTTATGGTCCAACTAAAGGCTATTCAGAAACTATTAAGAAAATACATTCAGTGCATAAGTTGTAGGTCATAACTGCTTAAAAGAGGTCTAAAAATAGGAAGGGACTTTAGAAATCACTTAGCCCAATTTCTAAACCAATGAAATCTCTTCTAAAATATCCTGATGTCATAGGCTCTCCCTCAAAACTGCAGTGATAGTGAATTTACTAGGACTACTACTCTTCAGGGAGGTGTTTTCTACAGTTGAAAAGTATCATTTATTGGGAAAACTTTAATAATGAAAGAACTATTACCCTGTAACTTTCACTGTAGTTTTGATCTTCCAAAGTAGGAAAATTGTTCTTCTCTCGAGGTCATATGATCCCTTGATTCCAGGAACACCTAGTATATGTTGTCTAGATCACTCACCTTCAAATCATCCCCCTTTTTAAAACAGTGGTGTCCACGAAGTTCCAGTGAATCTACATCATAACCTCACATTTCAGTTCCAGTGTTTGTGTGTGCCTACTTTCTCTCTCTCTCTCTCTCTGTCCCTTTTCCTCCCTCCCTTTTTTTTTTTTTGAGTTGGAGTCTCACTCCGTCGCCCAGGTTGGAGTGCAGTAGCATGCTCACAGTCACCCATGTGAACCTGCTGGGTTCAGGCAATCCTTCCACCTTAGCCTTCCAAGTAGCCAGAACAACAGGCCTGCACTACCAAGCCCAGCTAATTTTTTGATCTATTGTAGAGACAAGGTCTCGCCAAGTTGCCCAGGCTGTTCTCAAACCCATGGGCTCAGGCAATTCCCTCACCTCGTCCTCCCAAAGTGCTGGAATTACAGGCTCTTGAGCCACAGCGCCTGGCCTCCCTCTCTCATTAAGTATCAAGTTAACACAAATAAACCTTACTTTGTGTAAAACACTTTCCAAGAAGGAGGGTGGGGAAAAAAGTAACCATAAATAAGAAAATCAATCTCCATGCTCTGAAATCTGCTATTTTAATGTATTTGATGATACCTTGCAAAGAAGATACCTTTTTAAGACTATTTTAAAATTTTGTTTTGAAAGATAAAAAAGTTTTGTATACTATGCTCCCTAAAAGCAAGGCCTCCTGTACCTTACTTTTCTTACCTTTAAAATGAATTGCCTTAATAGATATAAACTTCCTTTTCACATAACTCTGACGGGAATGCCTATAAAGTGAACAGTTTTGTTATTTTAGAAGTCAAGGTCTAACTAAAGCAAACATTTTAAAAACTGTTTGGGCTTTTGCCTCACTCTAGTTTTTAAAATTGAAAGTATTTCACATCCTACCTATATGACAGAGTGGCAACACAATTTATAGGCTTGATAATTATTTTAATTACAAATTTCCACCAACTCTTACCATTCATATTATTTTAGCTATCACAAACAAATTATTTAACAGTATTATCTCATACTCATATGCATGAAAATCTGGGGAAAGAAGAAATGTACAGGGTGTTTGAAAATGACACCTTGGGTTGATCACGATGGCTACAATCCTGGCACTTTGGAAGGCTGAAGCAATAGTACTGTTTAAGCCCGAGTTTGAGACCAGTCTGGACAACATAGTGAGACACTGTCTCTATAAAAGCAATTTAAATTAGCTGGGTGTGGTGGAGAGTGCTTGTAGTCCCAGTTACTCAGGAAGCTGAGGTGGGAGTACAGCTTGAGTCCAGGAGTTCAAGAGTGCAGTGAGCTATAATCGTACCACTGTACTTCAGCCTGGGTGAGAGCACAAGACCCTGTCCCTAAAATAGAGAGAGAGAGAGAGAGAGAGAGAGTAAGAGAGAGAGAGAGAGTTAGTTTAAAGTTCATATTTACAGTGTGGTAGCATATAAACGTAGAGGCCTGTCAGCTTCTATCACCAACTAGCTTCATGATCTTGGGAAGTCATTTCTGTTTTCTTATTTTAAAAATCATCTATCATCTGACTTGTCTACCTAATAGAGTCAATTGGCTGCATGCAAAACTACCATGAAAAAGATCATGCATTGATAAGTGTGAAACAGTAAAGTGCTTTATTTATTACTGGTTTTCCTATTTTTAGAGTAATACTATTCATATTTCACTAAGTCAACATTTGTTTACAAAGTGACCCTTTTAAAAGGATCCTTTTAAAAGCTTTTAGGCATTAGCTTTACTGACAATTGGTTTAATTCTGAAACCAGTGTCTCAATTCTTGGGAACAAGATATGACATGAAAACATATGACAGTCACAAGTCTAAATTAATAACTAATACAATGTCTTACTAATTCTCCAAGATATAATAACTTAAGAGTAATGATGTCAACTTTGTAAGACACCAACTGAGAAAAAACATCCCACCATGGCTTAAGTGGTTTAAAATACAAGTGGTAACTGTGGTGACTGGAAACCAACTTAAAAATATAGAAAGATAATTATTAAAAACTACATTTCCCACAAATCCATACAAATTAAAATTCTGAGATCCTGCTTCTGAAAAGTTGCTTCTTCAGCAAAACATTTAGCACAGATGTCATTACTCACACTTGTGTGATATAGCCAGATATTGGTGTTTCAACCATCATTTTTAGAAAGAATCCCTTTGACCTTTACTTGCAAAATGACTATCTCTAGGATCTCAAAATTCATGGGGCAACATAGGTGATATTTATAATGATAAAAAAGAGAAGAGTTTGGCCTGTAGATCAGAACTACATAATTATGACAATCTGGCAAACTGATCTCTATCTGTATATTTATAGGCATAGTTAACATAATCATTGCCAGTTTTTGGAAATTTGGGGGTCAAGAAAAATAATCTGCAAAGGCATCTTGCTGATTTGTCAAGTTAATGTAATGAGCTGTTAATGTATTTTTTATACTATTACTTCTATATTATTTCCTTAGAATTTTTTAGCCTTTGGATATTCTAAGCCTTAGTTGTGTAACTACTTAGGGAGTGGTTAGATATATACAAAGAGCATTATGCTTTAGAAACATTCCTGGTTTATCAAAGTGGAAAGATAAATATTACAAATGCTGAAAATGTGAAAATAAGGTTTGTAAAGCTTCCAACTATGTGGGTACCAATTATAAAGTATCTTCATCTGACTCATCACTCTTGGGTTTGGTAAGTCTTTCCAGTTCTTCTCCATCCTAAAAGGAAACACATGAAATCAGTAATAAATTAGTACAAAACTAGAAGTGTGACATTTTTAATGATTACTAAAGAGAAACCTTACTATCACTGGTCTTATTTCACTAAACTGTAAATATAATCTGGTCAAATTGTATTGAGTAAATACTTAAGTTCTTGATAAGTTAATTTCAGAAGCACAATGAGATGAAAACGTAAAAGGCATTTAGTACTTGGAACTAAAGTTAACAACATGAGCAAAGTAAGGAGCACCATCTGTTGGTCTTGAGGAGAAGTGATTCAAGGTTGCAGAAATAGGTATAACCTAGGTTTTGTTACCTAAATTGATTTTATTTAAAATTTATGGCAAAACAGTATTATTGGTCTTTGGAAAATAAAAGACTTCTGAGTTTATTCTCTGGCTGAGATCAGGGCATTTGGGACTCAAGTTTCTAATTTTTTTCATCTTAAGAATCTATTGTATTACTACTTTAGAGGCATTGCACCTAGGGAAGTTTGGCCATGAACTGTAATAAGCAATAGAGTAATTTTCCCAAAGAGTGAAATGTTCATTGTGTGAAATAATTTATACTTTGTGTTTATGAAAATTATAAATCGACCTGTACATCTAATCCTGAATTGTACCCCCACATCTTTAAATTAAAAAAAGAAAATATAAATCTAAAGCTAGATGTCTATTTAATTAATTTAAACATATATTTAACTCAACGCCAACAGCATTACTGATAGAGCCTTCCCAAACAATTATAAGCAACTGGAAGGTATACAGAATAACTGCAAATTTTGTTTTCTAGAAACTATTTCCCACTAACTTGCAGAGACTCTTTTGAAAGTTACCTTCTTAGTGAAATAAACCTGTAAACCATTTAGCCTATTTCTTCACTTGTAGAACTAGGAAGACTGGACAAGATAACCTATGAGGACCTTCCAGGTCTGTGACTCTATAACACTCTAGACAAAAACTAATGCATAAGGTCCTTGAGACTGTGACTTATATTTTTTCTCCACCCCAACAGCATTTATCATGAGCCCTTACAAATATCAGGAGCCCAAAGAATGTTGATTTTTAAAAGTCGCAAAGATCCAACATATCATTTGATAAATCAGTACTGATCTTTTTTCTTGAATAATCAAACTTTAAATTTGGGAATAAAGAAAAAAAAAAGGCAGAATCTTCACAAACTTACCCCACTAGAACGCTCCCAAAGACTGCCACTTAGATCTCGGATCCTTTCTTGCCTAGGTGCATACTCTAGACCTTGAGGCTTGCTGGCATTATAAATACATATTGAGAGAAGGACTGATGGGGCTTCCAAGAAAAATTCTAGAGAGGGCCTGAAGTCAAAGACCAGGAGAGACACTGCTGTGATGATGACAGTGGTGACCTGGGCCATCAAGACATGGAACATGTTATCCAGGAACTTCAGGATGAAAGCCACTGAAAGGCCCTGGAATGCAGTCACAAAAATAAGGGCTACTGAAAATGCATTGTGGCCATAAAAAAATCCACAGTTCTTAATTTGATCTCGGTTACTCCTCTGAAGACCTAGGGTCAGTCCATTAAAAAGAATGCCAAAGAAATAGAGCTTGCTGTTCTGTATGAAGATGCTTTCAGTGAGCTGGTTCCCTTCTTTCAATATCTTTTCATTATAGATGTTGGCCATTGAAGAAATGAAACATTGGATTATAATAAGAACATGGCCCAAACCAAGACGGATGTGACTGAAAACCCTGGCTGTGATATTCCACTTAGCTTCAGGAAAAGTCCACTCCTTTATTGTACAATTGTCTTTTCTGGAACACTCTCTTCTGAAAAGAAGGCAGGAATTGGATGGGCTGAAGAAGGCATCATGATGAAATCCATGTCCTGCCAGGTTATGCTCTGACATTTTAGTTCCAGCAGTCAAGGCCACAATAGACAAAAATAAAATCAGGAGGGAAGCCCACTGTATCCAGTTTAGATGCCGCCTGTTCAAAGATGAAAAACAAGATTTTACTACTGTTTTCCCCCATGTTGTTTCTATTTAAAATCCAGACACTCGATGAATACTTGAATAAACTGTACCCAGTTTCTGCTAGCATTTCCTACAAGTTCAAAGGAAAACTGTTAGTGCCTCTGCTTTTCAAACTTAAATGTTTTTATTCACTTTTATAACATCAGTCCCTTAAAGCCATTTAGTCATTTCTCCTCTTACAGGCTACCTTTTAAAAAAATATTTTAAAGGTGTGGGGTACAATTCAGGATTAGGTATACAAGTAGACAAGGTACAGATAAAGTTTGGGCCTTCTTATAGGTTCTTTTTGAACCTACAGGTTTAACTAAGCCTCCTTTCTACCTCTGGATCTTCGACACTTTTCTTTTACTCTAAAGTAAGTTACAGCAGAGATTCTGTCTGGTTTCCCAGAACCAGAAAAAATGTAGACGAGCTTCAGAAATCTTCCATGTAGGTGAATTTCCTTCTATGCAAGAGATCCCTCAAAGCTTTGTCAAATCTTCGAAGCTGTTCATAACCCAAAAAAGATTTAAGAAGGATGCTAGCTCCTGGATCTATTGCCTAATTATCAAGCATTATGCAGCAAGGGAAAAATGGTATTTTGGGTAGGATTTCAATTTACAAAGTCCTAACAATGCTTATTTATTATTTTGCTTAACAAGAAACTTGTGATATAGAAGACATGTATTATTATTTCATCTTGCTGATTCATTCAACAGACATTTCATAAGCAACTACTATATGCCAGGCAACAAGGAGAGATGAAAACAACTTGATTGTCATGCTCAAAAAATTCACACTTTTGAAGAGCTATGAAACTAAATGTTGTCAATATAATGTGTGGCAAGTGACTCATGAAACTAGAGTATACTGAGGAATGAACACTTGTACATCTGTAAATGGAGTCAGGTATTGATTCAAAGAGAAAATTACACTTGAACTAGAAGATATAAATAAATTGAAGTTTGTCATGTGAAAAGAGAGTTGGTGATATAACCAGGCAGAGGGAAGAGTCTATGCAAAGGCAACAAGAATATACAGTTGACCAGAAAAAAAAAATTATCTGACTCAGGTTGTAGTCAGTGAGGCCTCTGGAGGAACAAAATCTTGCTGTTTGAAGATCAATTAGTCAGGTGAAGTAGTCAGGGACACCAAGAAAAGAGAGTAACATAAGCAAATGCAGAATTGTAAAGCAACAGGTGAGAACTACAAGTTGTAACAATTTTGATATCATTGGAGTATTTAGCGAGCAGCTACTGTGCACCTAGGCATTCCTGTTCTAGGGGAGGAAACAGTTTTAAGAGATTAATTTCCCTAATGTCATGTATTTATAAAAAAGCAACAAAGGAATCTGATTCATGGTTTTATATGTCTTCCTTCTGGATCAATAACCCTGTTAAGTATAATTCTGAGCATATAAAGTAAAGATGTGTTTGATTTTACCAATGCTTCTATAAAGCTTTATGCTTTGAAACTGCCAAATGCATAGACCAACTTACATAACAGTATACCTGTGCATACTAACATATGTTTTCTCATGTATATAATTTGCAAATAACCAGATTTAGCACTTAAGTGATGGTATTAGAATAGCCCTATACCATGAGGTGGGAAATTGAACTGATCATGTATATTTCTAAAGGTCTCTTGGTACACAATAAATTGTAGAAAGCAAATAGAATGGAAAAAGAAAAGACAAAATATGGGTGCCCAAATTACAAAAATAATCATATAATCAATTATTGGAAATCACATACAAATGAGGCAATGACATAATCTACAGTTCCTTTAGAAGTTTTCAATTCTGACATCTATAGATTTTCCACTAATACTGACACTGAGAAAAGAGAATACAAAGAAATAAACCCTTAAATGAGCTACACAGTACCTTCTGAAAACTACTGCTCATTCACAGTAATGTTCTAGGAAAGCTAAAATTTATTAGAGATTGAACTAAAAATTAAAAACGGTGGATTTTCAGCACAGAAAATAAAGTTTGATAAATTACCCTGGAAGTCATCTGAGGATCTGTGTTCTTATAAATGATGACTGCGTCTGGAGGCAGTTTGTTCTTCAGTTTAATTGATGCAACACAATAGATCTCTCCACTGCATCAGTAAACATACTGATGGGTGCTCAGCACCGAATGCTTGTGGCTAGAAGGCTACCCTTCCTGAGGGCCTCTACTCCCCAGTGAAGTCTCAGCTCCTAAACATGATTTTGCCAGATACCTCACTGTTGTCATTACATATTTTTAAAATTTTCATAAGTAATAAATTATGAATAAAAGAAAAAGATTGTTTTTATGAAAATGAAGTTGAACACTTTGGGAAGACTAGCTGAAGGCAAATCATTCAGAAGATAAAAAGCTGTCTTTGAATTCCATATAGATATGTGAGCTAAGCATAAAAGATAAGGGAATGAACAAGAAAAATCTGTAAGTTCTGTTTTCAAAGACTTGATGAATTTTATGGCAACTGAAATAAGAAGTCATGGATGATGCATAATGACTGTAGTTTCATGCGAGAAAGAAGTCAAAGAACTCCAACTGGTAACACATACTCAAAGAAAAGCCTTAATTAAGCATAAGAATGATGAGTACATGTACTTTTCCATATTTTAAGTTAAAATAGATTGTTACAATAACATATATGATTCTCCACTATGAATTTTCATAGTAACTAAACAAGTTCAAATTGTGTCAGATAAGATCACTTCTAACATATTTTTACCACATTTGGTGAAAGTAAATGAAGGCATTGCATGAGAATTAAGTAGAAAGATTCACATAATTGTTTTCTCAAGATATTGCACAAATTGTACAAAACACATTTCTTAGTAGCACAGAGTGACTAAGGGTAGATTTATAATGGGTAATCATAAAGAAAATTTATCAAGTGAATGAATGATTTTGGAGCAATGCCTCACTAATGAATGGCACTTTGAAAAAAAATTTTGTGTTGGCCCAGATAGTAACTGAACTTTATCCTAAGTTCCCATGCACCCACCATGTATGTTTCAAAAAAAAAAAAAAAAAAAAAAAATTTTAAAATGATTTTTTAAATACCTTCTCTTTGAATAAGTCAGAGAAAGTCATATACATTCTTTAGGTAAAAATAAGAGCTAATCTTGGTTATATTCTGCCTCCAAATCTTAACATTCAGGCTGATATTATTATTTCCCAAAGCCAAAGTAAACAAAATTATACAATTTTGCAAAGACTTATGAGCAAACCACTGGACTTGCAAAGACTTATGAGCAAACCATAATGGCTGCGACCAGTTTCTACTTTGAAACAGTGGCTACACTTCAAATAACAAATCTATACATTTACATAAGGTTTATTTAGAAAAGAAAATAGAACAGTTAGATAGTAATATTTTTATTTTCCCCACTTTCAAATTCCTCCAAGTAATCCTTGTATTAGTCAATGAACTTACATTTTCCTATTTGTATTGCCTTATATTGTATTTGCTGACTCTGCTAGAAATGTATTTGCTGGCTCTGCTAGAATCAAGTCTAAGATAACAGCCTTAATACTCTAAAATGTAAAATCAGTTATCTATGGCAAACAAAGAATATGTGATAAAATGCTTAAGCTGCTACTCCTAGGTCACAATTTTATCACCAAGGGAAAAAAGACCATCAAATTCACAAAGAATAAATTAAATAAGGAAAAACAAACAACATACACTACCAGCAACACAGAACAAAGTTGATTTTAAAATGTAATACAAGTGAATACATCAGTGGAGTCTTATTCAGCTTAAGAAAGGAAGGAAATTCTTCACATGCTACAACAAGGATGAACCTTGAAAAACATTTAATTAAACAAAAATATTTTTTTATTTCATCTTGGAACCAATTTTTCTTCTTCATGGAAGTGCATCTCTAATTCGATCACAGGAATCAACATAAAAATACTGCTTACATAGCATACATGTTCCCAAAAGTCAACTTTATCCTACAATGTACATTTCATGTTGACTCAAAGGCTTCAAGATGTTTTTGGAATAGCATTCTTCAACTTGGTAGTTAAAGAATTATTTACACAATTCACAAGTTAAATGAAGATGGCGCATAAAGCAAATTTCAATGTACTCTAACATTTAACCTGTGCTAAATATAAAATTCATTTTTTCCCATTTCCCATATAAACTATCAAATTGAATGTTTCATCAGTGTAAAAGAAAATATTTCAGGAATTTCATATAATTTATGTATTAAATGCATCATGGATTCAACAAATATTTAGAGTGTTTATGTACCAAGCCTTTTGTAGATACAAATTATGAAAGAAACCACTATTACAACAGCACACTGAGAATTAAGAATCAAAAAGAGGACATAAAGTTTGAAAAAATAAAACAAACACAACATATATAACAAGAAGTTAATTTTATTTTTTAACATCATCATTATTAAGTAACAAATTAAACTGGAGTTAAGTACCCAGATCCCATATTATCCTCCTGCCTTGGAACATCTATCTGATCTTGGCTTTGCAGCAAAGCCTTTTTTTTACTTAAAAGTGTTTGTACTATCCAATGGCTCTCTTGGAGGTAGTAAAAATTGGTAATAGCATTTTAAAGAGTATAAAAACTTATCATTCTTGGCTGGGCATGGCAGCTCACGTCTGTAATCCCAGGACTTTGGGAGACTGAGTGGGAGGAATGTTTGAGCCCAGGAGTTCAAGACCAGCCAGGGCAACATAGGGACACCTGTATCTACAAAAAATATAAAAGATTAGCCAGGCAGGGTGGCATGTGCCCATAGTCCCAGCTACTCAGGAGGCATAGGAGGAAGGATTGCTTGAGCCTAGTCATGATCATGCCACTGCACTTCAGCCTGGTAACGGAGTGAGACCCTGACAAATAAACAAACAGACAAATATCACTCTTATTAATTGTACTTTTGACTAGATTTCTCATGCAAATCCTCTGCCAGTAAGTGTTTAAATCATGTACATATCTCAAGTAGTTTAATAAAGAATTTCTCATTCTTTATCATCTCTAAACTCCAAATTACAAAAGTATTAACAATCTTAGGAACCTCTTGGTTCCCTGTAAGTAGAAAGATTTTGTATAAAAAGCTCATGAATTATTTGTTGACAATCTGAAACTAAAAATGAAAATATCAATTATAACCTAGTCAATGATGTTAGTTTTGAGATGTTCAAGACATTTCATACATCTGATCACAGAGGATTTAGACAGGCTAACACTGGAGCTGCTTTCTAGATGGGTTAAATGGTCCCAATACGAGAGGCCAATTAGAAACAAAATCCTGGCCTTGGGATTCTGAGGGCTCAGAGCTCTGGTATAATCATCTGAAACCAGGCTGTACCATTCTAAAGTACGATATATACTTTCACAGCAAGTTACTTACTTCAGCACTATTCTGAATAGAAGAGCTGTTGTTATAATGCTAAAATTTGAGAAGATAACAGCCATGGCCTAGAAAGAAAGAAAAGATAGAGTTACAATCTAAACAAAGTACTGACCTGAGAAATCTCCCAGCTTGGTGGCTTACCTGACAAAAAAAGCTTTTTGGTCAAAACCCAGAGGGGTTATTAGGGCAGCTATTTCACTTGAGGATTAAATTCTATTTTTATTGCCTGTTAAATTTATGCAGACATGATCACATTATTATTCTGGCCTTGTCTGTCTAAATAATCTTTATGTGCAGATCTGAAAATGCTTATAAATTCAAAAGGTTTAGAGATGACGGTTACCATGCTTATGATGCATACTTTTCAAAGCTCTTGAAGTGCTTTATAGACTTTAATACTGTTTCTATGGGTGCATAGAAGGCACGTACTGTGAGGTTGGTTAATATGGTAATAAAATTGAAGTATAGATTTTTAAGTATCTTTAACATTCTAGGAATTGTACTAATTTTCCTGGTTGAACTACAGTGACTCAATACCAAACTCATATTTGACAGTCCTTTGGATTATATCAAGTTGTTGTAAACACAGAAATGCAATAGCTAGATTTTATAATAGTTTGTTTTTGTTATTTCAGTCCTATTTCATGAGAGTATTAATCTGAACACGTATACACTTTGCTCAGAAAGTATGAAATCCCATTATTGCTCCCCATAATTTGATCTGACAATATCATTTTTTTTTTTTTGAGTTGGAGTCTCACTCTGTCGCCCAGACTAGAGTGCAGTGGCTGCTCCCAGCCACTGCAGTCTCGACCTGCTGGGTTCCAGTGATCCTTCTGCCTCAGTCTTCCGAGTAGCCAGAATTATAGGCACGCACTACCATGCCCGGCTGATTTTTGATTTATTGTAGAGATGAGGTCTTGCCAAGTTGCCCAGGCGGGTCTCGAACCCGCAGGCTCAGGCAATCCACTCACCTCAGCCTCCCAAAGCGCGGGATTACAGGCTGAGCCACCGAGCCCGGCTGACAATATCATTTTTTAACACAAATCTTGTGACTTAGTTCACTCTGCCTTCCTGCTTGATATCACTTTAAGTTGACTGAAACCTGAGAATATCAAGTCATATATAACCACTTAATAATGACAAATGTAGCTAATATGCAGCTAACAAAGAAATAAAGAGTAAATCCATTTAAAACTGGCAACAATTTCAAGAATATATTGCTGTTTTCTATTGAACCTTTACAGGAGTTATTTTAGAGTTTTCTTGTGTACTTCTCTGTAGACAAATGCTTGTGAACCCCTCGTTAGGAGAAGAGTAAAAGAAAAGAATAGCTGGTAAGAATACAGAAATGGTGGCCCTGATCAAACATGCTGAGGGCAGTGCAAAGGCACCTAACCAAGCAGTCTGGATGGCTTAAGAATTCTGAAAACATGCAACCCTATTTAATTTCTCAAATAGACTTGGGCACAGCAATACTCAGAGTATGCCATGTGATTTATTTTGTAAGATCTCTAGCTGTACACAATCAGGAAGGAAGAACAAAGCAATAAGCTGGAAGAATAAGGAAGTTACAATCTTGCTTTGGTACTGGGGATATAGAAAATAGATGAAAATTTAGAGCTAATCTGGTAGATACAAATAAAATGCATAAATATTTGTTTATTGAATATGAATAATTATGTTGTTGGGGCTGATATTTGGTTGCCTCTGGATCATATTATTACTATTATTATATACAGATGAAGCAATGGAAACTTAGAGTAGCTGGGGCCTGCCTAGTTATACAGCTTCTAAGTTGTAGAAGAGTCAAATACCTGTTTTTCTACTATAGTTCTATATTAGTCTCCTTTTCATCCCACTCTAAAACATTTGGTTATATTTAAGAGGCTTTATAGATGACTAGTGCCAATAAAAATCCTCTTTATGATCAAATGCTTACATTTACTTTTTAAAGATATTTAACCCTTTGCACTCAGAGACATCCCCTTGCGGATCACCTACCAGCAACTCAACTGCATTTTTTGATAAAACAGTAAAAAATAAATCACTTCATATTAAATAGTCAGCATTGGAATAAATTATTCTATTGTAATGATATTTGGCTTATTATTTTGGACACTGAGGAACTTATTTATGACAAAAGAATAAAAATTTTATATCTTATATTTTTCTAACTTGTGGTAATGTGTGAAACAGTCACCAACACGCATTGTAAGTTCATTAATACATGTTGTGCAATAGTAGTTTGCTTGACATCTTCCCCCAGTGTTTTTTCATTTAACAGACAATGCAGTCTTGTTTTCTTCCTCACACATTAAATAATATGTAATTTATTGTCCAGTCTGTTGTTCGAAGATGATATGGAAGGACGCACTTGTCAATCCTGGAAACCACGAGGATGAGTTTAAATCTAAACATAACTCATCTTCTCTGCTGCTTTATCATAATTCTAACTTTTTGTCTTTTCGTTTTGCCATTGTTCTGCAAACTAAATAATGGATAAAAAATTTCCAATTGTAAATCATGAAATCACGAAATGAAATTTATATCAAAAGAACATTACTTTTCTAATTTTACTTTTCCAACTTAGTACAGATATATATATTTGATCTGTGCCACTCAATACTTCAATACGATCTGCCTTCAACTTTGAAAATGTCTTAAGGCTACAGTAACTTGCTTACCTATCTTTTCAAGTTATGTCATGTGAGACAAAGGGTGTACCCACAACTGCCTTTCTTATACAAATGCTCTTTATCACTACCTTCTTTTACAAAGAAGTAACACTGTGAAAGCACTTCACACCTTCTCTTTCTACAAAATGCCAGCTGATATTTTCTACGTATATCTCAGTATATATATTCCATCTCTTTATTTGCTTTTTCATGCAATTTGAATGAAAAACTTCAAGGAAACATACATTTTTGAAAAATCTGCACGTGCACAAGTTTGTCCTGTATAATCACCAGTGATCTCTTTATGTCCTGAGAGGGGACATCTGAGTGGTTTGCTAGATTTTTGATGTACTCTCAGAGGGGACATTCAAATGCAAAGGGTTAACAGAAGGCAACAGAAAACTTCATTTTATAAAATAGAAGGAAATATACATGTAACCCAAACTGAGTAATGGGTAAAAGCAGAAAATCAAACTCCAATTCTAATTACCAATAGCCTTCCAAATTGACACAGAGGGTGCTAAGAGATGAGAATTATTCCTAGCATTATCAACTGTATTAATTGATGCATTTATAGTCAGAAGGATACAATCCTAACCCTCAAAGAACTAGTTGTTTAAATGACAGGATTACCAGAAAAAGAAAACCATAAAAATAGGATACAAATATACCACATTAAAACAGGGAAGTACACTGAGTGTATAATTTTCTGAGTTATTCATGGAAATCTGCTTGGATGGAGGAGGTCTTGAGTATTGAGATTAGTATTGGAGGTTAGTGGCCATAGAATGGCTCAGAAAAAAGTGGACTGATTAAGGTTACACGAATGGGGGTGGCTTCAGTTTTCCTTGGGCCAGGGAGCAACTCTCTGTAGCAGTCCTTACCGTTTAATAAAATAATCTATATCAGTGAGATAATCTGGCAAGCAGATATTTAATTAAGTATTAAGATGATTCTGGGAAAAATCTCAGGAAGGCAAGTGAGGGTAATGAGAAGTTAATAATTCCAGTAAAGATGATAAAAAAGAAAGATTCGTTAGGGATTCATTTATCTGTATCATTTCAATGGTATTTTCTTTGCCATATTTACTTACAGGTTGAAGATAGGATAGGACATAGAAGACAATCAAGTTATCCAGGAAATAAAGAAAGGCAGGAATGGACCACTTCATGAAATTGGAGAATTCCTTCCAGGAAGCACATTTCAAATTCATACTTGGATGATCTTAGAAAGAGATACAGCAATAAAATAAATGCTCTTGATGAGAATGCCCATGTTTTTAGAGAAATCAAATTTCATTTGATTACTGATACAATTCTTTAAAGGAGATTTTATAGACATGCCTCCGTAAGTGACCACTAGCCTAAATAAATCAAAGATAACATGGAATTTCATTACTGTCTCTCTTTAACCCACCACCGTGTTTCATCACTGACAATCAGCAACATCCTTCAGAATACTGGTTATCCTAATTCCTGTTAATCTGGCATAGTAGAAGTATCACTTAAGGCAACTCAGGATACATAAGCAGTTGATCTTCCTGTTCTGAGAGCATATGGCTAGGAAGGAGACCAACAAGGCAGTGTAAGTAGGAAAAAAATGAAGTCTTTATATCAAGTCTTTATGCTGAGTGTAAGGGCAGATCAGAAGAGGGAGATACTTTGTGGACACATATAAACAAAACTAGAAAAAAATTAACTTTTACTAAACCTAGTGGGAGGTATTATTCCATCTCCTGATTTCCAAACAATTAGAAAGATTCTGTAGCAGAGAGAAAGTAAAGCAAAAAGATAGAAAACAAAGGCAGTTTAACTTTAAGCCCTGCAAATAATGCATCAGTTTTATGAGATTAGGAAATGTATTTGCTAACTGAAAGCTGCATGGATTGAAAACTTTGAGTATGAAAAGATATCTTGCTGGACAAGCACTTTAACAGTTTGAATTCTACATTTACCTCATGTGGGAAGGCAGATCAAAGAGATAGAGACAGCCAAGGCTCAATAATTGAGAAACCAAGGTGGAGAAGTAATTCATATAAAGAGCCTACACATTCCACAAAAGGCTAGATACTTTATATTTGAGGAATGGTTTAGAATCCCTATTTGATAGTTGAGGAAACCGGAGCTCAGAGCAGTTAAAATAATCTGCCCCAGAACATAGTATCTTTGAAGCCAGTGCACTATGCTGCCTTCCCTGTAGAAAACAGTCAGTGTTTTGAAACATGACACACATCGGATCAGATAGCACAGTGATTCAGAATATCCTGAATTTGCATAAAAACTTACTGTGTAAAACCATCACAGAACAAGTCATAATGTAGAGTAAAGGGTAGGACACTGGGAAATACGGGTTGGTATCTTAGTTTTGCCCCTTCCTAGCCAGCTTGGCATAATATTTTCTCTTTGAGCCTTTTTCTCTACCTATACAACATATTTATGCAAATGCTCTTTATCACTACCTTCTGCTACAAAGAAGTAACACTGTGAAAGCACTTCAAACATTCTTTTTCTACAAAATGCCAGCTGATACTTTTTACATATATCTCAGTATATATTCCATATCTTTATTTGCTTTTTCATCTCTTTATTTTATTTCATCTCTTTATTTTTAGCTTCCTCATATATAAAATTAAGGGACCAGACTCAAATGATGTAAATGTTCCTTCTAGTTCTATTTTTGATCCTGTGCTTTTTTAACAAGTATATAGTACCATTTCAAAACTCACCTTTCTTCATAACACAGAATGACACAAGCACACAGAAAACTAGCTTCACCAGTTCTGAGCACACGTTCACAGTAGTTGGAAGATAATCATACTTGTTCTCTGAAACATAACAGAAATTTTTTTTAACTAAAAATTTTATTCTATATGTTTATATACAGTATAATATATAATTGTTTTTAAGCTTAAAAGTTGGATTAAATACTGGTTATATTAAATTTCTTCCAGTTGGCTTTGCTCTTTTGGATTTTTGAATCAATTCACATAATATTGAATTGATATTATCCTTGTCCCATTCCTCTTTTTATTATCCTTAAATTTGATGAACACACCTGTCATGTTTTCATACAAGTTGCTAATAAATATGTTGAGGAGATTGGGACTAAGGACAAAGAAAGTTCTGTGGTATGGCATTAACTTTCTAGAGCTGGCTTTCTAAATTTAGAGCTAGCCTTCTAAATTAATCAGACCATTAATCAACACTCAGGGTTTGACTCAGCGTTTGCATTTACCTGCTTAATTAGTGCCCAGCTCATAATTCTTCTTGTGACTTATATGCCTTGCTAAAATCAAGGTACAGTCTATGGCATTTTCTTAAATAGTTTCTGGTCATGGGACACATAGAAATCATTATATTTATTTGGCATTCTGGGATAAATGGCACATTGGGGTAAAAGAAGGAAACTACCCAAAGCAAGAGCCAGCTGGTTTAGGCTTCTAGGGCCGAGAGGAAATACTCTGACACATCCAAACCCATGGATGAGTTGGGAAGCTACATTCTAACTTATAAGTCAAATAATTGGCAAATGAGGTTTTGTTAGTATTGTTGGTTTTAACTGTTACATCTGTCTTTTCTACATGCTTACAAACCAGTTACTTTATAATTTTGCCATGGACAAACATAAGCTCTATTCGGTACTATTTTCAGGAATGCATTTTCCCCGCCTTTTGCTTGTTTCTCTTTGTCATATTAAACCTATTTTGCTTGTTTCTCTTCGTCATATTAAACTGTCCAAGTATGGAGTAAGAAAAGTCAACTCAACACTCTCTATCCAGAACACTCCTCCTCTCTTCTGTGGTTTCCCTTGACCTTCTCAAGCTAAGCAGAAACAATTCTCCATTCACCTCCGTTTTTACAGTACTACCTATAAACTTCTGTAACATTCTTGTACTTGTCATATTCTATTACAATTTTTTTTTGTTATGTGTATAACTTATCCTTAGAATGGAAGCTTCTTAGGAGAAACAGACCATGTCAGTCACCTTCATATACCTGGTGCTTAACAAATGCCCACCTGAATTTAAATATTTGGCTGTTTAATTTTTCCCATCATTCAAAGAGTAGTTAAAACATCTCCTTCCTTCTCTGAGCTTAATGTTAGACAACTCAGACTCTGTTATCCTCCAATGATACTTTTCAGGATCTCTATCATGATACACATATGAGCCAACATGTGCACACCAGAATGAGGGACTATGGGAGTATAACTTTCAAACTCTTGTCACTGTTTTTTTTTGGTTCTTTTTAGCTCATTCTTCCTTTTCACTGATAAATATATATATTTTTGTATAATTATATATATATATTTGTATCCTTATCATGGCTGATCTCAAACTGAGTGACAGCATGGTATATAACCATCCTCCACTCATCTCCTGACCGCACTCACATACCCTATCTAAACGCCATCCACCTCACTAGTTTTCCTTCAGCCCCAGAGAAAGAAGTTATGACTCTACTATTCACCCATTCTCCCCTTTAAAACCTCCCCTTCTCCTCAGGGGCTTAATTCCAATAAGAATTTTCTTTGGCTTCAGTATATGTCCTTTCTTCCTATTAGCTGGCTTCCTGTCCTCAGCTTATAAAAATGATTAAAACTCTCCTATTTGAAAACATATGATAAAATATTACTCTCTATCTACCACACCTTTTCCTTCTTTCCCTGATATAGTATTAACTTTCGTTATCTTCACTTTACCCACTTTCCATTCAGGTCTTATTCCCAGGTAGAATGGTTTCTGAAACTACCTACTCTGAGATTATCAAATATCTTCTAATTCCTAATTCCGAAGGGCATGTTTTAATCTTTATTTTATCATAATGCTATTGTTCTCTTTCAGTTTTCAAATTCTTTTCTTCCTTTCTATGAGTCATGTACATTTAATTCTCTCATCTCTTTAAAGATTTTTCCTTAATGTTCTGAGTGTCAGTAAGCCACTTAAATGCTGGCAAGTCTCTGACCATGGCACATATTTTCCCATTCTGCATGAGCCTATTTGCACTAGGGTTTTAAATATCAATTTAATATTAATGTTAAATCTATATTCTGGAATATTTAATTTACTGACCACTAAACATATCCATATGAGTAACTACCTCTTATTTATTCATTTAATTGGCATTTCCTTCATGTGCATGATGCGCCACTGCAGGAAACTGGAGTGAGTGAGGACATCGCTCCTGGCCTCACAGAAGGTATTATAGCTAAAACTACAATCTCTCTGGACTCTGCCCAATCTACTCTTCTCTTATAGTCCCCATCTCAGCTAAGAACAGCATCAATCCACTGAGTATTCAAACCAGAAACTTCTGAGTGATCCAACAAACTACCCCCTTGAATTCTCACTTCAATAAATTTTCCAAATTCTGTCTCTTTTATGTTCTGAATGTTTCTTGAATCTACTCTATTTGCACTTCAAAAACCCTAGGTCTTCATCCTCTGCAGCTTGAATTTGCAATAATCCCTTAACTGCTATTTGCACTTCAAAAACCCTAGGTCTTCATCCTCTGCAGCTTGAATTTGCAATAATCCCTTAACTGCTATCTTGCTTCCCATCTTTACCCCTCCATCCAACTACCATAATTTCTCTCATTTTACCCTCCTCAAATATTATAATTCCTCAAGTATTCCCTAAGCCCGGACTCTAGGGTCTAGAGAATAAGGTCCTAGCTCCTTAGCATGGCATGTCAAGTTCTCAACAAACTGACCCTCATTCTTCTCTCCAGCCAGGGACTCCTTTCTCCTCTCAAGTTCTTGATCTTTTTGCTTAGTAATTCTGAACTATGAATGCTCTCAACATATCCAGTCTTTGTTTCTTTTTACAGGCTGTTGCCTATTTTGAAGACCTCTGCCATCTTATCTTCCTATGAATCAACAGTCATCTAATCAGGAAGTTTTCCTTGATCCATCTGTGCTCCATATTATCTCCTCCCAGATAGACTATATCACTTTCTCTTCTAGACTACCTCTACATCTCTGGCATACTCCTATTACTACATTTATTATAATGTATTTTCATGATGTGTTTACAAGTATGTCTCTCCTAATAAACTGAGCTCTTAAAGACAAAGTCTATGTGTTACACACTTTGAACTTTGCTGCTAATACTTAGCCCAGTGCCTGACAGATACAAGTTAACTAAAGTAGAGACTTGTGTACACATCTAACTCCCCAAGTAGACCTCTAGTCATATTATGATTTATGTATCCTTAATAACTAGTAAGATGTATTCAATAGTTGTGTGAAATTATAGTGTTTGCTTAAATCTTAATATTTTAAAAAAGATGACTTCTTGAATATATGCTTATCAAAGCATTTAAGTCTATAATGTTGATACTGTACCATTGATATAATAACTACAATAGTACCTTACAAATGCCAAGTGACTAAACAATTATATCCTATTTCAAAATGAGATGTGATCACACATTTTGCTATAGGCCAGAAAAACCTGCTGATTGAAGCAAATATATTGTCAGATGTTATGATGTGTTCTTCCCCAAAGGATTTGATTCTGTACTTGACTAACCCACATTTCATCCAGTATCAAAAATTTTTCCTGTTGAGGAATGACAGGTTAAAGAATCAAACTTAAGTGTGCTTTATTGCTCACATAAAGCAAAATAGTACCTTGATAAGGTACTATTATCCACATTTAATACAAAAGGCAACCAAAGACAAAGATAACATGTGATTAGATGGATGTGTTCCATACATAATCCATGTCTTAACTTACCTTCATTGGCGGAATATTTTACCAGTAAGATGCGACTTGAGCTTAAAGCAATGAATATGGCACCTAGCAGGAATGTGTACATTTTTGACAAGGAGCATAACATAGGATGATTATGACACTTTCTCTCCATTCCAGTGATTTTTAATTGCCTTAAAGAGAAGAATGCACTTTCATGAGCAACCCTATCAGCAAACCTAAAGACTACACATATTGCAAATACCATTGATCTATGAAGACAGAAAATTAATTTTTTAGGTGTTTGGCTATATCAAGAAAATTGAGGAATACAAGAGGAACTATGGGGAAAGAAAATGAAAAAGTCAAAATCTGACAGGATAAGGTACTCTAAAATCAGAGGAGGCAGGACCAGATTAGACGCGCTGACAAGGGTAGCAAGTGAGCAAATGTCATTTTGGGAATGCAGAATTCTGAAGGGCAATTCTTTAGCTTTTGTTCTTATTAGTCATTTTGCTGTAGAAAAACGGAATTTCAGAGCCGTCTTTCCCTTCTCAATGCCAGCTATTTCTTAGGAGGAGAAAAAGGAGCTTGCTGGGAAAGATTTCACTACAATAAAGACCAAAACGGAAACGTCTCAAAGACCAATGTAAAGTTTTACTGAACTAGTGTTAGAAATACACGAGTCTTTTGCTAGGCTGAGGACTAAACCCCGGGCTGGGTAAGCAATTTGCCCGAGGCTTCCCAGAATACTGGTAGGAACCGCGCATTGAGGCTGTGGGGAGCGCCGAGCAAAGCCGATACTGAAAACCCAAATGGGCGCAAGCGTGACGATAACAGGTTTCCCTGCACGGTTTCCCTGCACGGTGAGGGATGCCCTTCTCGTCGCACATGCGCAGAAAGGATCTCCTCCGGCACGCCCTTCCCTTAGCGCACGCGCAATTCGTGGGCCGCGGGGCGCGGTTACCTCGGTCCCTCAGCAGAGCTTCTAGTGCAAGGACGCGCATCCTAGAGCCGTGACAGCAACTGTCTAGCTCCGTAGTAGCAGCAGTAGCTTTCAGAGTCCATAGGTGGAGAAGCTAAAGAAGGGAAACAAAGGCGAAAAATCCTCTGCCTCCAAGCCTCCTACTGCGGAACAAAAAGCACGACAATGACCCGACAGAGAACGAGCGGACCAACGCCCATTGCGCAGGCGCGCTAAGTGTCCCGCTTCCGGAAGGAGAGAAGCGGCTTGATCCCACCCAGGCGCGGCTTTTCCCGCGTCACGTGCTGGGAGAGTCCAGTGTCACGTGAGGCCCAGGTGGCGGGGGACCTACGGCAAGAGAGTGAGAGAAGGAAGGGGAAGCCGGAAGGGGCAAGAGTGAAGCAAAGGGGAGAAATACCGCTCCGGAGAGAGCAAGGGTGCGCGTGCGCCCGCTTTTACCCCCCCCGCCAGCTCTCCTGTCCGCCCCGCTCCCCTCCCTGTCCGCCAGGTGACAGGCGGGCCCAGTCCGCCGCGCGCGCCCAGCCCTCGCGCGCAGTGCCCGCCGCCCCTCCCCCTCGTCCCGTCGCGTCCCGTCCCGTCCCCTCGGGTGCCGCCGGCCGCTTGCTGATGCGAGTCGGTGGCAGCGGGGACATTTTCTGACTCCCCGGCTGCCCTGCCCACCCCGTCGCGGGGCC